TATTCTTTCTGAATATAACTTTACCGATACACTTATTTTCAACATTCGCGCTAAAACAAACGCTATAACGAACGTTAACTTCAACAATACTTTCTCACTGCAGATCAATTACTCACTACCTACACACACACACATTGTCCCCGTCACGTTTTCACCCTCTTATATATACCAGACTACCCTATATCTAGTAATGTCCCGAAAATTCACGAAGTACAAGATATTTCCAGAAAGCAGGAGGCGTGACACTAGTCACGTGACCTCGCTGACGCAACAGGTAGTACTTTATTTCGTTTTCTTTTTCATTTATTTTATTTCACTTTGGAGAGCAGTCACCGTTTCACAACTGCCTGCAGGCAGTGAAGGGTGATATGCGGGACGTTGTGGGCTTGAGCACCAAACATTTTGCTCTCCTAATTTCTACTTCTTTTGATTATTTTATTTTTTTAATTTCTTTGTTTGAGACTGGTGAACGCAGCTTAAGACTGATAGACGGTGTATTCTTACCGCAATGTGGGTCCTACTTCCACAGTGACCTCCAAAACCCAGGGCACATTTTATATCCCACATTGTAACCTGTACCCTGGAGATCCTTCCGATTTGTGCAGCGTCATTGATTTGATTTTTGTGTGGGCTTGGTTTTGTTCATATGCATATGTGTATAAATATGCTGTCATTACACTTTGTCAATTACTCAAATAGTTTATACAGCTCATCTCCAGTTACAATATGAAATATTCAGTAACATTCAAGTTAAGTGCTAAAGTTACGCTTTATAGCGATGGTAGTGTCATCTAGAAGCCATCAGACCAAACTCATCTTTATTTCAGGCTTTATTATATTATTAATTATTTTTGAAAAAATCGGGGAATCAAAACTTACAAACTAAAAGTCTATTTACATATTGTTATTACTGTACTTCAATATACACTCAGAAAAAAACCAAACTCACTCGTCGATCATAAATCTGGCGTTTTCTAAAAATATTGATGAAAAATGAAGTGAGTATAAGGTGATATGCTCTTCAGAGCTCTTACCACTCAGCTACATTCTTGGAGTGATTTTCTCGAAACATCGGATGGCACTTCACTTCAGAATATTCACTCTATGACTTGGAAAGTAAGAGGTTATAAAACCTTTTCAATCACTGATTTTTCCCTCACATGGACATTCTAACCAATTTTAATCGAGTGATAATTCCACAATATAGTACATACATTGAATTTCAGTATCATTCTATAGCATGGAAGGTAAGGAATGCCAGTTCCTTTCAGTCTATTATCATAAAGATCAGCAACTGATCGAACTGTAAACAAGCGAGTAGTAGAGGCTAAGTTTAGTTCATACATTCTGTCAGACATTACTACCTGACAGCCCAGCAAGCAAAGAACACTACTTTCTTTCAGTCATCAATTTTGCAAACTAATGATTCTCTTACATTGGGCTTCTAATACTGCTCAATGACTTAGAAAGCAAAGAATGGCACTTCCTTTTAATAGAATGCCCTTTGGCTTATGCAATGCTCTTTAAACATTTAAGAGATTGATTGATGTCTTATTATCAGGCTTGCCAAATTCAGAATGTTTTTGTTATTTGGACGATGTCATAGTGTTTGCTGCAAGTTTTGAAGAACACTTAGAAAGATTAAGTCATGTATTTGATAGATTACAGAGAACAAACTTAAAGCTTAAACCAAGTAAATTTCAGCTTTTGAGAAAGAAAGTAAAATATTTAGGTCACTTGCTAACTGCAGATGGTGTAAAACTTGACCCTATAAAGCTAGAGGTTCGTAAGAATTATCCAGTGCCTAAAACAGTAAAAGACGTTCGTGCATTCTTAGGATTTGTAGGGTTTTTTGAAAGGTTTATACCGCATTTTGAATTATTGGCAAAACCTTTAACTAAGCTACCTAAGAAATAAATACAATTTCAGTGGACAGATAAAAGACAGGAATCATTCAAGAAATTAAGAAATGCTTTAGTAAAGGCACCAATTTTAAGCTATCCAGATTTCTGCAAAGAGTTTATTCTAAGCACAGATGCTTCAGGATACGCTATAGGTGCAGAATTAACACAGACAAAAATGGAAAAGAACATCCTATAGCATAACAGAGTAGACAGTTAGGAAAAGCTGAAATAAAGTATTCAGTTACAGAGCAGAAATGCTTAGCTGTAGTACGTGGAATTAAAACTTTCTCTTGTTATCTGTATGGTAGGAAGTTCACTATCATCACAGATCATGCACCATTAAGATGGTCAATGACATTAAAAGATCCTTCCTCCAGGTTAGCGAGATGGTCATTATTACTACAGGATTATGATTTTCAACAGTACATAGACCAGGTAGAAAGCATTCTAATATCGATGCTTTGAGTAGAAAATACACAAACTGAAGAAAACAGATGATTAACAAAGTAAGCGAGGTAAAATCTGAAAATGAAGACGAGTTAGAAGTAATTTGGGATCTAGATCATGTGATTAGTGAGCAGAAGAGAGATAAGTTCTTAAACACTTTATGTAATGAAATATTACAGGGAGAAGATACAAAATACGCGTTGGATTCGAATATTTTATGTGAAAGGCTAATGACAACAGGTCATTGCAAATAGTTGTACCACATAACTTAAAAACTAAAGTTATGAAACTTATAATGACACGTCATTCGCAGCTCACCCAGCTTTTGCGAAAACATACAGTAGGATAAATAAAAGATTCTTTTGGCTAAACATGAGGAAATATATTAAATATTATTGTGATTTGTGCATAGAATGTCAAAAACGAAAAACTAGCCCACACATTAAGAACACCCCCTTACAAAGAATGCTGAGTCTAATGACACCTTTTCGATTAGTAGCTTTGGGCATATTAGGACCATTGTCTACATCCTACGCAGGGAATAAATATGTGTTAGTAGTCGCGGGCTACCTCACTAGGTTTCCTTAGGCAATATGCTTACTTGATCAAAAAGCAAAAATGATCACCAAGGCATTTGTGAATAACATAATAGCTAGGCATGGTATACCACAGTATTTATTGACAGATAGAGGCAGTAACTTTATATCTAAGTTAATGAAAGGAGTTTGTGAGTTACTAGGTGTAAGGGAAATTGAGACAACAGCTTATCATTCAGCTGCAGATGGTTTATTCGAAAGATTTAATATAACTTTGTTAGACATGATCTCTCAGTGCTGTGAGAAAGATCAGAAAACTTGGGATGGGCAAATTCTTTTACTGTTATTAGCATATAGAAGTGCTGAGAATGAGTCTACTCAGGAAAGTCTATTCTTTCTATTTCATGATAGAGACGTAATGCTACCTATGCAGGAGATATTAGCTTCTAAAAAAGTGAATTATGCATTAGATTATGATGGCAAGGCAGAATTATTATAAAGCTGTTGAAAGTAAAGAGAAGCAAGTAAATAAGAAAGCTCAAGTTAGTGACATAAAGTTAGGGGACAAAATATTGTTATACACCACCAATTTTTAAGAAAGAAAACACTAAAAAGCTGACAAAGTCATGGAAAGGTCATTTTAGAGTTCTGAAGCAAACAAGTCCAGTTATTTTTTATATCCAGGAGATATATGGAAAAGGTAAACAGCTAGTACATGTTAGTAGGTTAAAGAAAGTCAAAGATTATACACCTTATCAGTATGAGAATGTAGTGGACGAAAATAAGGAACAGGATCGAGATAAGAGGGAACTTAAAGAGACTGATAATTTAGTTGAATTTGATTTATCTTTTGATGAAGAGGAAGAAATACTGGAGACAGAAACTCCAAAGACAGAAGAAGATGAAAGTGTTGTACTAGGTGATGAAGTAATAACAACAGAAGATATCCCAGTTAGTAGTGGCAATAGTGAAGTTAGTGCCCCAACAACTGAGGATAATACCCCAAGTACCCCACTGACAACACAAGCTAATAAAGTGACCCATGTTAATAACCTTAGATCACATGGTCCTGTATTAACTCAACCAGAAATGACCCCTACAACTAGGAGGAAACGAGTGAAATTCAATCCTCAAGTAGTTGTACACCAACCTAAATGTGATGTAAATACAGTTAATACTACTCCTCGTAAAGATAGTGTAATTCATGCTTTCAATAACACGATAAGCTATTTACGAAGTTGCAATTAACTTGAATAGGATAAGTTATATATATATATATATATATATATCTGTATGTAGTTAATGTATGGTGTGCATATATTGTACTAAATATTATAATTATGTGTATTACTAATACATGTATTTATAGGTTTACCAGGATTCATATGTAGGCGATGGTAAAAATCGGGACTAGACAAAATGTAAGTATTGTTCCAGTAGAAAACAAGGTGTGTTTTTTTTTTTTGAAGAAGGTAATTTTATATTATCCAGAGATAAATAGATAATTATTGAAGACATACCATTTCCGCAGTATGTTCGGTTTTTAGTACATTTACAGCAAGAGAATTCGTTTGACGTAATTACTCGCGTTAGTTTTGATGTAGGAAGTACAGAATATAGGACATTACATCACATGAGATATCAGGGAACAGCTATCTTACAGTTAGCAAGAATCTTACAAGAAAGGTTAATTGAAAACTATTAAAATTTTATTAGGCAATATCAGGTAGAGCGACAGAGATAGGTATCTAAGGAAATGATACATTTAATAGGTGAACAGGCGACTATAATGAATTCATTAAACCAGACAATTAAATTTCACGACCAAGAGATTGGGAAAGTATCTAGACCAGTGGTCGGCAACCTTTTTTTGATCACGGGTCAATTATTTTTTGTTGTTGAAAAATTTAGCATTGTGTTGGGTCAGTGTAATACCGGTACATGTATTTTAAATGTGTATGTTTATTTACATACAAAAAAATTAATAGTTCGACCAGTTTGATATTTTTCCCTGAAACTGATCTTAAAATTCTCCGTAGCCGTGACTCTTTCCTTTAATATCGTTGTTATTCTCACATAGCAGAGAAACTTGAACTGAACAATGATTGTGCCCTTACGGGCTGCAATAGTGAAGCCAACTTTTGGCGGGTCAGCCAAATTATTGCCGCGGGTCACTTAGTGACCCGCGGGGTCATAGGTTGCCGACCACTTTAGAAACATTACTAATGCATTGATACACACTAGAGTCAGACAAACTGAACAACACAAACCAGGAATTGAAATGTTAGTTTTTTAACGCTAGGATTCAGAATAATCTGCAACAACTATATTTTACTGTAGGAAGTAGCAGGACAGAGTTAATTAAGTTATTACAAGCATTGTATGTAGCTGCATAAAATGTAGCTGTATGTAGTAAGTTGAGTTCATACCTTTTACCTATGAGTAAGTTAGAAAGAGTGTGCATTGTGCTAAATGGAAGACCAGTGCTCTTTACAACTGGGTCATCAATAGTGAACCTTTAGACGTTTCCAAGCAGAGTTCTAAAGAGAAAAAGACTAAGAGAATATGTTTAGAATAATCATGAATAATTATTATGTATGAGCATACTGAACGTATAATCCGATTGTCATGGTGTACTGTTATATGTTAGTATATTAATCAGTTTTAAATATCTTATTTTGTACATGTATACTAAAGTTATATTGTGTTAATGCTGGATATGAATATTATTGTAGTATATTAATCTAATGTTATTATTGTGGCTTAATATCATATTATTGCTAGTATAGTAGTTGGTTAAATGTTGTATCCAAATAATATTACTGTATTGATTATTAAGTGTTAATAAGAGGATTAGTAAGAGGTGTTATTGTAAACATTGATTGATGAAGAGAGAGATAGAAACAGCAAAGTTAGCAGGTAGAAATTTTTTACAAGGTAAAAAAAAATTCTTAAGAGGGAAGGAGTGAAGCAATTGGTTATTTTAAAGTAGTTTCATACAATTTCTTCAGTATTTTTAGTGTTTAAGAGATTTAAGAAAGATGTCAAGAGCTAGGCAAAGCATAATTAGCTAGTTAGTTAGTATTAAGAATCATGAGTTAAAGAGTTGTAAACAATTAAAACTAAGGCCTTGCACCCCAGTAAAGACGCTAAAAAAGTTTGACAGTGATAAGATACTGACATTGATCTAGTAGTACAGTAAAGGCTACTAAAACGTTTATGGTAGCATCTAAAATCAGTACTTTGATGAAGGATTCATTACTACAAACTGGAGTAGTAGTATAAGTGAGAAGGCAACCAAAGCCGCCACCACAATAACCAATTAATTGACAGTTTTGGTTCTTCTTTTGGAAATGCCCAAGGAGTTGCAGGAATTAGCCAATGAAGTATTAGAACTACTTGCAGGTAGTTATTTATACTACTTGGAAACTCATAAGAATACAGAGAAAATATCGTATAAAAACTCATGTCTGGAGCTGAAGAATCAGTTCTCTCTCCAGGGGTTAACGAGTTCTCCAGTGTGGGAAGTTCTATCCATTATGAAGGTATCCAATTTGCAACAATACACTTCAAGTGTGATGTAAGTAAAATTTCTATTTCTCTCATTCAATCAACGTAGCTTAGGATAAAATATAAAAGAAATTTATATGAAGAAAGTTAATGTGTGTGTTAATGTGATTTGAATATCTCACAGGTGAACCATGTTGTTGATATTGATTAATTTGAAAGATGGATTGTTAAGAATTAGTGGATTATTAAGGGTTTAACTGTTTTAAGTAAAAAGTGTATGTCATTGTAATAATTCAAATAAAATTGATGTATTTTGTGAAACCTCAGGCTCAGAATCGATTTCTTTAGTCTAACCATAAATCTCCCCTAGTTATTGACCTGTGAGCTCCACTGACCACTGCCTTCCTCAATTAAAATAAATTTGGTGTAATTGGCAGTAAAGTCAAAGCTCCTATGATTAGCCCTAAGGGCACTGCCTGTTACAGGTACATTTGTGCATTTTTATTATATTCATGATAATATGATCTGACCTTCTGCTACAACTAAGTCTCTAGAAACAGTTGCTAGCATTCTGGTGTCTTGCTTTTCTGCCATAGCATTTCTGACTGCCTCATTAGACCTCTATTCCACACACTGAGTCAATGTCTCTCTGCTGTTGCTATTTTTCAGGTACTTGCTCTTTTTCTTAAAGAAAATATACACATTGGATCAAACACTCTTAATAAAGGCTCAAACATTGAAAAGGATCTCAGATGAAATAATCTTGGACTCTTTGACAAGTTCTCTCTGCTGAGATCTTCATTTTCTGTGGTACAAATTTTCTCCAAATCTTATTCATAGTGAACAAACTCTGGCATTTTCTATGGTATGTTTGGCACAGTATCTTCTACTGTATATACAATGGCAAGAATCAGTGTATGGTTTTGTATTTCAGCAGCTTTGCTCAATGTTCACAAAGCAAGATTCAATGTCTTTTGGAGTAGTCATGTTAGAGCTGAGTTCTTCATTGGTACAGTGAATGATGCAAACTTGACTGTCTTGACTCCCTTTGAAGGACCTGTCCCATCACCGCCACCATTTGCAGTGTGACACCTTGCTCACTATTTGCATACTTTTCCCATCACCATCCACTTCTACAGGTAAAATATGCTACTCTACTCATCCAGTCTACATGAAAAGAGACAGGAAAAAAAAAGATTAGATCTAGTGACAGGCTAAGAGAAGCAAAACGCACTAAAACATGAATACTACTTTGTATTTTACCGTGTTTGGTGCTATATACACACATCTTATGGTTGGTTTTCATATACCTATGTAAACATGTTAAAACCCGTTGTAACAATCACATTTTTCGTTATAAGAAGGTCTGTTTATGTGAACAATGTGTACTGCAACCATATCACACAAAGGACACTTATTTATATGCATGTGTTTATTGTTCTATTACATTATGATTATTTTAACATTATAATGTAAATAGGGAACTATGACATCTTTCACCTCTTGTTTATTATAGTCTGTTGATTCTATTCACATTTTATGAAAAATATCAGCTCTAGACAGTTTCTGTAAGGAACAAAACACGATCTATGAATTTTATGGGGCTAATACCATGATTGTAATAAATGTTATAACTCTGACATGAAGAATGTGATTTATTAGAAATATGGGAGCATGAGTGTAAGAAAATGAAGTCTAATGATACAAATTTAATGAATTTCCTTAGGGAGTCTACGGTAATGTTCCACCTAGATGTACAAGCGAGATGCCTTCTATGGAGGGAGAGTCAATGCAACAAGACTTTTATATGATTATATAAGAAGGAGAAAATATCAAGTACGTGGATTTTACATTGTTATATCCAATGACAAACAAATATTGTGAGTATTTGGTTGGACATCCTACAATAATAACAACAAATTTCTCTAATTCAAATAATTATTTTGGTTTTATAAAATGTAGAATCATTGCTACCATGTAACAACAGTAATGACAAGACATCTTTCATTGGTACCTGGGTCACAGAAGAAGTAAAAAAAAAAGTAGTCGAGTGTGGATACCAGGTAATAAGAATACATGAGATTTATCATTTCCCTATCAAATCTACAGATCTTTTTAAGAACTACATTGTTAAGTTTCTTAAATTAAAGCAAGAAAGTTCTGGTTGGACCTCCCACTGTATAACATTGGAGGCAAAGCAGTATTATGTTGACCAGTGAAACGAAATTGAAGGAGTGCAACTGACCCATGAAAATATTGTTTTTAGTCCAGGAAAAGGGTAAGCTGTAAAAGTATGTCTTAATTCGTTTTGATGCAGTTGGGGTATGTCTGAGGTCAAACCACAACTTACCTATGTAACGTTTGTTGAAGAATACAATTCATTAATGAAATATAATACCAAGATAATAACAGATGTTACACTGATTAACGAAGAAGTAATACCTCTTCATTCGATACATAAATATCTGCCTCAGAAAGAACAAAACCAAAATCTTTCTGGTGGCTTCCACAGCAGCACATGCTCTTCTGAAGTTATAACATACACTATAGAAGTTAGGTTCGTCTGTTTTGTATTATGATACAGACAGTATTGTATACATTTCAAATGGTTCTAATGATCCACCTTTAGGGGATTATCTTGGTGAGTTTACAGACGAGCTAGGTGGACACTGAATAACTTCGTGGGTCAGTAGTGGTCCAAAAAGCTACAGGTACTTAAGCGACAATGGAAAGTCATGCTGTAAAATTAGAGGGTTTACCCTCAGTTTTTATCAACAGCAAAAAATTGAATTTCTCATCAATGAAATGTATGATAACAGATATATTCAGCCATTTTCAGCCTCCTATAACTGTGACTAATCATAAGAATATTTATAGAGATTTAAAGACTTGGGCCATATACAACAAGGAAGAAAAGAAGAATTATCATCTAGTTTACACTAGATGACACATCCTTCTAGACTTTAACACACTTCCATATGGATATTGATTTTTCATCTAATGGAACTAACTCCTCGCCATGGTCTATGGACTGAAAAGAGGGCGTGTGCAGGGTCTTGTGGAAGGATCTGAGGTGCACTCAAACATGATCTATATAAGGTGAATCCCGTTTCATTTATTTCTCGTTAGAGTTTGAGATGGATAGCTGTCTACTACATCATTTTACATGTTTAGTGTCAGGTTTGACAGGAAGTGGTAAATCACAGTTTGTAAGCAAAGTTCTAGCTTATCATTGTGAAGTTATTTGTCCTATTCCTGAAAACATTGTATAGTTTTATGGTGAATTTCAACCAATGTATACAAAATCAATGTAAAATATCCCCAACATTCAATTTGTTGAAGGCTTACATGAAACTTTCCGTGGTAAAATCTTTTTATCATTCGTAATCTTATGAGTGAAATGGAGAATATAAACGAGGTTCTTAACTTTTTACACATGGAAGTCACCATTTGATTTTATATTGTACATAATCTATTTCATCAGGGTAGAGATGTGTGTAATATTAGTTTCAATTCTCAATATATTATTTTGTTCAAGAATGTTAGAGACAAATCTCAGTTGAATGTTTTGGCAAGACAAATGTTTCCATCATGTATTATATATTTTAAAGAAGCTTATCAAGATGCAACAAGACAAACATATGGTTACTTACAAATGCCTGAGCAGATCTGTTTGAGGACCGGAATATTTCCTGAAGATAAAGTTATAGTATATGTTCCAAAGTAGGTTAAAACTATTGTTTAACTGAATATATATTGTTACGACAGCGGAGGTCACGTGACGCTAGTAACACGTCACGCGCTTCTAGAATGTTCCTGAAGCCTCAGGAGGTTACTAGATTTCGGTATTCTTGTACATACATGTATAAGACGGTCAAGACCTGACGGCAACAAGGAATAATTGAACTGCGGACAGAGCGAGAGACGTATTGTTGAGCACGTGAGACATTCATTATGAATTATAGCATTAGTTATAGCGTGACTGTGGAAATTAAGTGTATTGCAAAGTTGTATTCAGAAAGAATAAACCAGTTTTATTTAAGAAAGGACTTGTATCGCTAAAGTTTCTTTGGAAAGAATTTTTACGAAAATTAACTAACAAACGAAGACATAACAATATTTATTCATTATCATGAATGCTACAGTGATAGAACTAGAAGGATTTTATCTGAAGGATGGACCATATGTAATTAAAGAACTTGCATTCAAATGTTTAGTCACTGGATATATATGCATGTGTTTGTTTAAACAACCATTTTTGAGTAATTATCTTTCACATGCTCATCGTCGTCAGTTTAATTCTGTGATGTGGCACATTCATTTCCATGGAAATCTAGTAAAGTCAACTATCCCTATCTGTGGAGTGTGGTTATATTGTTGAGCAAGAACTTTATCACTGTTTATACAAAGAGGAGAGAAAGGAAGCAAAGATATTAAGAAGTCTGCTGAAAATTCCTTGTTATAATCTGGAATTGTTTGGATGCTCCAAGGTTAATCGACTTCCAAAATCTACTTTATCCTATCCATTTCATATTAACAATTATTATCACTGTAGTGTTAAAAAGTAGATGTTATATTTAAATGGTTGTATAAATAGATAGTTTTATATGTTGCACTCACAATCTCTTTTCATTTATTCGTCATGACACATAGAATTAAACAACATCAAGAGTTGATCCATGCATAACCTAAAGCAACATGTAAACAGATGAGAAGATTAATTGTTGGAGCTAAAAATGAATTTATCTTGTGTATATGTGCATGTGCTTTAAACATTTTAAAGGGTAACCTTCCTATGATGGACATTAAAAAGCAGAAACTTAGATTATACAAGTCATTATTGAGAGAGTTGGCTGTCAAGAAAACACCAAGAGGGTTTTTACCATTACTTTACCATTATTTAGTGGTTTGGCACAAAGAGCTATTGGTAAAGCTGCTGGAATCTAAAATTATGGCAAAATGAATGGTACACTCTCTTTATCAATTCAAAGTTTATGAAAGGCTTGAACATAAAGTATTAGACTCTATAGATAATGATATGAATTCAGTCATACAAAATTATATGTTACCCATAGATGAGAAAGCAAATGTAATAAACCAAATACAACAAAATGAATATTTAGAGATCATCAACAGTGCTTTTCAGAAATATAAAAAGAAAACTGAAATTCTATTAAACTTGATACATTCCAGGGAGGATCTAACGTGGAATGATCATGGAGAATTAGTGATTAATTTTAACCCTACAGAATGGAAAAAATTGCAGAACTTTTATCAAATATGAACATTCCCCAAGAAGTTGTTGGAAATGTAGACACATGGAAGTACATGAAACATGATACACATGTTAAAAAACCTAAACATACCGTATCTAAATGGGATCATTTTTAATAATATGGTATCCTAATATTCGTTCATTTGTGTCTTGACTGCCATCATGGACTGTTGCCAGTCTTTTAAGTTTAGTAACATCTTGAATCATCTAAGAATTAATATCGTCTGTTGCAAAGGTCAAATTATTACTGCTGTCACAGACGACGTTGATGGTAAACTAAATAAAAGTAGATGGTGTAAAACATAATGTCTAATAAAACTCTACAATCTATCTATTATAATCTTAAACATCCTGCTAGTTTTAGAGAAGTTCAGCCTTTATTTAGATCTGTGAAAGCACTAGGAAAATCTGTAACTCTAAATCTACTTAAATCTTAAAGACTACTCAAGTCCACAGAACACACACACTTTGCATAAACCAGTAAAATACAAGTTTTCGAGAAACCGAGTTATTGTTACAGGGATAGATGAAAAATGGCATGCTGATTTGATGGATCTCTCTAACCTAAGTCAATACAACTATCAGTTTAATTATTTATTCAAGTGTATCAATGTGTTTTCCAAATATGCATGGGATGTTCCACCCAAGGACAAGAAAGGCGCAACACTTGTAAAATCCTTCAAACAAATATTAACAGGGTCAAAAACTTTTTAAACATCAAACTGAGGCTGGGACAGAGTTTGCTACTTGTCTCTTTCAATGATATCAACAAATAAGACATTCACTTCTTTACTACACATAATGAAACAAAAGTGTCTTTAGTAGAAAGATTTAATTGCACTCTGAAAACTAGAATGTGGTGCTACTTTACTCATCATGGAAATTATAAATA